GGCTCCACCCTCCACACCACCCCGAAAAACCTCCCAAAACAAAAAAAAACCCCATCCTCTTAAGCCCTACACGCTTCTGCTATCAAAAAACAGGCCTTCCTGTGCCTGGTTAAAGTGAGATACTGCTGAAGTGGTGGGACAAATCCCTTTTGCTGAGCACCAACATTTCATAGTGGCAGTAAGCAGCATCATTTTAATTTATATTTAATGAGAAAATAAAATTATAAGCAAACTTTAAATTATACTATTTTTCCTATTAAAAATGAAAGGGTATTTAAAGAAATAAATCTTGGAATGCTTTGACATTTTCAGGGAACTATTTTTATTAAAGAAATGTAGGTACACAACAAAAAGGAGTGCTCAGTTTCACAGTGCACAAAGAATTTGGGCTGGCTGATCTCTCTGGCATAAATCAGAAATAGCATAATTTAAAATAATGACATTACACCAGTATAAAAACTAGCAAGAGCTAAGTTCAAAGACTATAAGAGAAGACTCCTGTAGTCTTCTCCTATCAGAAAGGAAAAAGATATTATTTAATTATTTTCCTCTGAAATATTTTACATTGACCAAAAATTACCCCAAACCAAGTAAACAGAATCTTTACATTTCTTTTAAAAATTGAGGAGAAAAACTGAAGCTAGACATTTCATTAGTATTTGTCTGGACATGTGCAGAGGTATTATTATGCCAGTAAGAGCTTACCAGCTTGTATTTTTATACGTTTTCTTTTATTTATTATTCAAGTACGTATGTAACCCTCCTACATTCATGGTAATGTCAAAAGAAAACCAGTGTCCTGGTTTCAGTTGGAATTTTTTTCATAGTAGTTGGTATGGAGTTGTGTTTTTGCTTTGTGCTGGAAACAGTGTTGATAATACAGGGATATTTCAGTTGCTGCTGAGCAGCGCTTACACAGTGTCAAGGCCTCTTCTGCCTCTCACCCCATCCCACCAGCGAGTAGGCTGGGGGTGCAGAAGAAGCCGGGAGGGGACACAGCTGGGACAGCTGACCCCAACTGACCAAGGGGATATTCCAGACCATATCATATCATGCTCAGTGTATAAAGCTGGAGGGATAAGAAGGAAGGGGAGGACATTTGGAGTGGTGGTGTTTGTCTTCCCAAGCAGCCATTACACTTGATGGAGCCCAGCTTCCCTGGAGATGGCTGAACACCTGCCTGCTGACAGGGAGCAGGGAATGAATTCCTTGTCTTGCTTTGCTTGCATGTGCAGCTTTTGCTTTATCTATTAAACTCTTTATCCTAACCCACGAGTTTGCTCACTTTTACCCTTCTGATTCTCTCCCCCATCCCTTCGGGGGGACAATGAGTGAGCAGCTGCATGGTGTTTAGTTGTCAGCTGGGGTTAAACCATGACAACAGGTAATTTTTAAATCCATTTTTAATTCTTTTAATATCTAAATCTATAGCATTGGCAAAAAAAAAAAATGGTTTGCAGACTTACAATAAAAAATTAGGAAACTATAAATAATCTGTAACACACTAGCAAGCCATGACAATCAGCTATGACTAAATGCTAGCACATTGCTTAATTACAACAGGATGGTTCTACATTTCAGATTAGAGGAAAGGGAGTAAAACAACACAAAACAATATCTGGCTCTATTAAAATTCAGAGTTACTTTGCATAGGTTAGTTTAATCTCAGGCTCAAAACAGTACTCACCATGCCGAGAACTAAGCAAGAAGAATTGCATGACAGTTAAATTAAGTGAAGGGTAGGAAGGCTTTACAAAGGGACCTGGACAGGTTGGATTGATGGGCTGAGGCCAGTTTTATGAGGTTCAACAAGGCCAAGTGCCGGGTCCTGCACTTGAGTCGCAACAACCCCATGCAGCGCTACGGGCTTGGGGAGGAGTGGCTGGAAGTTGCCTGTTGGAAAATAATCTGGGTGTGTTGGTCATCAGTCAGCTGACTATGAGTGAACAGTGTGTCCAGGTGGCCAAGAAGGCCAACAGCATCCTGGCTTGTGTCAGCAATAGTGTGGGCAGCAGGAGCAGGGAAGTGATTGTCCCTCTTTACTGAGCACTGGTGAGGCTGCACCTCAAGTACTGTGTTCAGTTTTGGGACCCTCACTACAAGAAGGACATGGAGGTGCTGGAGTGTGTCCAAAGAAGGGCAACAAAGCTGGTGAAGGGTCTAGAGCACTAATCTTATGAGGAGCAACTGTGAGAACTGAGGCTGTTTAGTCTGCAGAAAAGGAGGCTGAAGGGAGACCTTATCATTCTCTGCAATGGAGGATCTGAAAGGAGGTTGTAGACAGGTGGGTGTCAGTCTCTTCTCCCAAGTATCAGCCAATAGAACAAGAGGAAGGACCCTCAATTTTTGCCAGGGGAGGTTTAGTTTGGATATTGGGAAAAAATTATTCACCAAAAGGTCTGTCAAGGACTGGAACAAGCTGCCCAGGGAAGTGGTTGAGTAACCATCCCTGGAGGTGTTTAAAAGACATGGAGATGTGTGACTTAGGGACATGGTTTAGTGGTGAACTTGGCAGTGTTAAGTTTACAGTTGGACTCAATGATGTCAAAGGTCTTTTCCAATCTAAACAATTCCATGATTCCATATTTCTAAATACATTGTCCTACATTCCCTAACTACCAAACAGAGCACTGGCACGATTGTGTGGCAGAAGTGTCTCAGATGTGGCTAAGTGATTCTGGCTTGTGGGAAAAGGAGTTACTTTCAATGGGACTGCGCAAAGACGTGTTACTTCCTGGACCCCATCAAGTTCCAGACTCTGCTGTTTCATAATATTTGTAAAGCTACCTTGTCTGACTTTCTGGGGAACTATTGCTGGAGTTCATTGACAACTTCAGTTGGCAACTCTGCTTTCTCACTGCAAACATGTTTGTTGTCACAAGGCAGTCAAAACATGACCTAGCATTTTTATCACCATTTCCCCAGTGTATCAAACTAACTGTCCTTAGGGTTTTATTTGGGTATTAACTGCTTGAGTTTCCAGTTTACAGCATGACACTACTTATGGCATGTCAGTCGTGTCATCATCATTAATTTACTAATTAAGGTAAGGATTAATGAAGGCAACTATTCTTTGTGAATATTATCTTTATTATTACAAGTTAGGCTGAACAGATCCTACTTTGTTTTGTTACCATGACTTTAACTTAGGGTAAAAATCAAAACAGAGCCCAAAAAGCTTGAAAAGATTAAGCATGCTAGGTGTGAACTCCTGCTCAAAGAGTGTAACTGTTGAGCTATAGCAAGCATTTCTTCTAATGTGGGTGTATGCATTCAATACAGACAACCTAGCAACTGAAGGATAATATGAAGACACCCAAACTTGCTTCAGGAGATGCACAAATTAATTTTCAGTATGGTGGCTTTGATATTAATGATGTCTGGTTGCAGAAGCCTACTTGGTGAGAACTAAAGGGAGAACATTCTGTGCAGACTCAACTTCCTAGCTCAGCAACACAGAGGTTGCTAAGTTTTTCATTTTCAAAAGCAGACCTTCAGACACTACTAGGCTACACACTAGAGCTGATGCATGCTACTCCTTATTGAGACCAGACAATTAATAGGAAAGTTAAAATTCTGTCTTACTTTTTCATTTGAATATTAAAAAAAAGGCATGATTACTCAAGTTCATTTACATTTGCACTTTCAATTGTATAAAAACTACTTCCCCTATAGAAAGTCTGCATAAACCCCCTAAAAAGTGTGGGGGAAAAAAAAAAACCCCAAAACCAGACATTCACTCCTATCTTTGATACACAGAGAAGATAAAAGTACCGTAACACTCTGCATTTTGGCATTCTGGTGCTAAGAGCGCAAAGAAACTGCCCTCAGGAGTTTGAATATCGCAGATTCATGGCACAGCCCAAGAATAACTCCTCCAAAACTTCTATTGAGGCTCTATCCAAACTGGCTTACTTACTCATTTCCATGCTGACACCATATTGTAAGTTGTTACCGCAAGATAAGATGCCAATTCCTCTTTTTGCTTTCCTTAAAAGCTGAGATCCAAATCCAGGTGCCACCAACAGCCCCACTGGCTCTTCAGTTTCCCATTAAGGTTTGGAGCACCTCCCCAGGATAAATTTGTCTGCAGCCTTGCAGTTCTGAGTTGCCCTGAACCACAAGTCTTGCCCTTCCCTTCTCCCTTCCTGGGTGGGGTCAGGTGAGTGGGTGAGAGAGCGGCCTCTTTGCTAACCTCTGCTGCAATGAGTGAATAATCTTTACATCCGTTTATTCAGCTTCTTCATTCTGTGACTCCTTACTGATGGTGATGTCTTTGCCACTAATGCAATTCAGTACCAAGCTACTGGTTTGGGGATCAGAAAAGTCCCTTAAAATAGCTTCAACTACTGTTGCAAGAAGCATTCTGCTTTACTTCTATGCCTTCACTAAAACAATGGTCACATGAAAGCTAGTATTTCTGTATCTATAGTACTGTGATACATCCATTTTGAATTATTGCTAGTTAGCTATTACCAATCTCACTGCTCACTAGCAGTACCATGCTGCACAAACATGTTGAAGCACATTCTTTTGATAGTAATTTCTTCTAGAAATTCTAGTCTAGAGCCCTTGTTCATGGTGAAAAAAATATACAGAGCAACACATTACTTCCTCAGATGCTCAGATGACTCAAATTAACCACCCAGCACAAACATTTACCAAAACTGTTAAATACTATAATAAGATCTACTGGGAAAAAAACAGAGAAGAGGAAAGTTATACACATAAGCCAAGTCAATGAGAGCTGTTAGGGGGGGTTTTTGGACATTTTAGAAAAATCTTTAAAGGACAATATAATCAGATTAGTAAAGACACTGTAGAACATCCTGCTGGTGTTTTGTCTTGTAATGACTAGTAAGACTGAATCATCAGCCTAATGCATAGTCTTTAACATTTTTTTTAAATATTCTTAATTTCTTTTCTGAAAAAAAATTTAAATCACAATTATTTTTGAAAATGGAACTTAAGAATTTAAAAAAATATATGTTATTTCTTACCTATAAATGGCATGGGGAACATACACTTCTCTAATTGGGAATTCCAAAATCTCTTTGTGAGGACGATTTCGGTTTTCTGGAAATGGCTTCACTGGTAGTAATTCTGGTGTCAGACAATAACCAAGGTTTTCTGGAGCAGGGGAAATCTCCAGTTTAAGTGTTCCTTTAAAAAAATCACAAAATCTCAGCAAAAATTTAAAAAATGACCAATCCAATGTATAATAAAACAAAAATGAAAACAATATGTGAGGTTTCATAGCAACAGTGCAGAAATAAGAATTGGATCTCTGGCTTGAAGGCTGTATGAGAATGAAAGCATAGGCGTAGAAAGATACACAAGAAGTAACCTATACACATCCCTACACATTAGGCCAGTATACAGCTTCTTATGTCTACCCTGTACAATTTCAAAGAAACAGGAAAGAAAGAAGGAATACTACGTGCTATTTTGATGTTCTGGTATCTTTCACATACAAATAATATAAAACTTGCCTGAGAGGCAAATAAAGGATAAAAGAACTGATGTCTAATACAGTTATCTCTCACTCTTCCCACTCAGATTCTGTTCTGATCAATCTCTGCTAAAGCCAGGCTTGCTGTGGTGAGCAGTTAAACAGTTAATACTGACAACAGTTACTCAAGTATAAGTAGACTTTCAGTTTAAATTCTGTTACGACAAGTGAAAATGGTTTGTGCAACTCAGACTTGTAATTTCTGGCAATCAGCTAAAAAGGCAAAACAGCTTTGCACTCAGTTAATGTTTTTCAAGGTTCCTCTACAACCCAGAAGTGCTTGAGCTGTAATTTATATAAAAAGAAAAAATAAGCTGGTCAGGTTTTCAACAGTAGCCATACACTATCTCTGCTTCTCTACTTTGTTAGCTAACACTGACCCAAATACCCAAATAAGATAAAATGTGTACACATTTTAATCTTCCTCTGTAAAATATGACCCATTTAAAAACAGTGCAGAGAAGTAGCAAGGATCTTAGAAATCTGTTTTAAAGCACTGTCTTCAAACAGTTTGAATAATAACAAAGGTATCCGGTAGGTACACTGTAAGTTAGGGAGGAAAGGAAACCATTTTAGAATATCAAGCTAAACATAAATCTCCACACAGAAAAAAACTGAGTGCTCAGGTAGACACTGGGAACCCAGGAAGTTCCACAATAGCACATACTATAGACTGAAAACCCAAGTCAATTAGATTTTGGGGTTGGAATTTACAGACCAATTCAGGGGAGATAAGTACATATATCCTTTTCCATCCAAAATGAATTACATACCTGGTAAAGTCTTAATTCTTCTCTGCAAGGAAGATGATCTTTTGAAATCAGCTAAAAACTTGAACAGATCTTCATCGCTGAGCCTGTCTCCTTCCTACCAGGAGAAAGGCAAAAATCAGTACCTTTACAACAATACTCCATAATACTGAGAAAAGCCTCTGAGTGAACCATGTCCTTGAGGCATGCGAAGTTACTGCCTACTTGACAGCAAGTTACCCTCTGTCCCCACAGGAACATCACTGGTAACTTTTACCAACACAGTTCACATTACACAGATTATAAATGTCTTAGGCAATCAGAAATGAAAGAGTATCAAGTACCTGTTTAAAGAAGGTGCTGAGGGTTAGAGAGGTTGTTCTGAAGTTTGATACTGGATAGCTGTCCTCTGAGCTTAGACTTCTCTCTGAAAGTCTTCTCGCCTGTAGCAGTGTTGCTCTCTTGTCACTAGTCGATCCTTTCCCTTCAAAGGGAAATTAAATGAAACACTAACTTGCTTTGTGTTGCTTCAGTAGAAACACTATTAGAATCCACTAGAAATCAAAAACTTCCTGGCAGCATCAGAGGATAAAGAGAGTAGCTAAAACATTCCACTACTTTTATTTCAGACTATGTGAAACAGTGGAATGCCAGAACATGCCTAGTGAAGTAACATTATTTCTGCTGCAGAGCACAAGCTTATTAAAATTTTTAGTTCATGGGTTATAAATAACATTGGTCAATGTTGTTGACCAACGGTCCTGGATACCCTGGAAACTAAGATGATATGTGTTTTGATTGGTCTGTACTGCAAATGAACTCCATATAGCAAAGGGAGTTTTACTTCTACAAAGCCAGAGTTCAACCAAAATTGGGCCTAAAACATGGAAGAATATTTAGCATACATAAAAATAAATATGCAGAGACAGAACAGTGAGCATATTAAGTTGTAAGTGTTTGTAGCACTGAAAAGGAAGGGTGAGAAAACATAATTTTGAAACTGTTGTTCCCTTTTAATGCCAGAGAGAATGACATTGTTTCCTATGTATAGTCCTACCGAAGAGTAGCTTCACAAAGGTTAGAAAAGTTAGACGACTACCATTTAAGCCTTCGGCTTCAGGTATTTCTCGTTCAAATGTTGAAAGGTTGAAGAAATTAGTTAGGCTTATGGGAATCCAGGCGAATGGCATTCTGTATTTCCCCAACCGCTGACAAAAGGATTCAGCTTGCGCTTTCAGTTTTTCAATCTTTTCTTTTGTCTAAGACAAATAAAATAATGACTGTTTTAAAAGCAAATAGTTATTTTAATGCTACTATAGATAAAAAATGGAAATTATATTTTGGTTGTTTGCCCATCCAAATCAATAACATGTCTCTGAGGTAAAAACATTTCTGCTAACTCCACATTGCACTGTCATCTCCTTTGCTCACCCCTACCTGCTTCGTGACTCAAGACTTTGTCAGTACTGATTTCCAAAGGGGTCAGTAATGGAACTGCACCTTGCCTTCTCATGACTTCTTCCTGTCGGTCACAAACGCCAGACTGCTTGCATCATGGATCCACCTGCTGGCTTCCTCTCCAGGGGATTCTGTCCTATTCCTAAGGGTCTGCTCTTTCTCTGATTTTTTCATGTGCACGCATTTTTTGATCTAAACACTCTTTATAGTTATTTACTTACCTTGCCAGCCTCACTTTCTTTGAGAACCATGTAGGGTTCTGCACAGTCTCCGATTTCTCCTTGCTGAAGCACTTTTTCTATCTACAAAAAGCAGTAAAATAAGACACTCACAAAGAAAAAATATCACCCAAACAGTAACATGTTGCTTCTCTAGCAATATGAAAGTGCCTGCCTAAATGCACAATACAGAATTATTAAAACTGTTTTTATGTAGTAACTGATATTGCACCTTCTCCTAGTTTTCCATCTGGTTTGTTAGAAAGCAGAAAATATGTCTGTGACAACACTGTTGATCAAGTGCTACTGCATTTTCACTGAAATCAGGAAAATTAACAGATTCCAAATTAAGTGGTTCAAATTAACTCAGTTTCAGAATTAAATAAACAAAATGACAAAAAGTGCACAAAATCAAAGCCAAAAAACCTCCACATAGTGTAATTATTTTTTTTTAAATTACTTATTTCACTTTACTTTATATTTCCCTTAGGCAGAGATAGGAAATTCTAACTACTTAGCAGAACTAGAACACAGGGTATCAATATAACTCCTTAGCTTGGCAGTGAGACACTTGCATAGGTGAAACTATCAGAATTCATCTCAGCTACAGGAAACTCGTGTTTGTCAGCTCCACAAACTCAGACAACAGGCACAGCCAGGAACAGGAAGAATGGTGCTGAAGTGGCACTGTAACATACCTTTATTACTAGGTATATATCCGATGAGGGATAAGTGACAGAAAATACTGCTGATCTTGCCTGAGTAGACAGGTCAATGGAGGGTGTATGCGAACGCAAGAATCCTCTTAATGAATCAGAGTTGAGGTCACAATGAAAATTTTCTGAGATCTTGAAAAGAAAAAGAATTATAAGGTATTGTAAAGTAAAAATGCATCAAATATTATTTTATTTCAAAAGTAACTAGAACTACAAAATAAACAATTGCAAGTATGTGAATTTGACTGATTAAAAAGAATCCTGTATCAGACTGCATGTGTGAAAAAGTTGCATGTTTTTTGTAAGTTTTCCTAAATGATTACTCCAGAGATAAAAACCCAAGCCAGCTGAACAAAAATACTGTATGCACACTTGCCTTTTTTCTTTCTTTTATATCATAGAGAGCTATGCATGCAAACAAAGGTTCAATCTCTATATCAAACCTGTTGAGAAAAGATGTACAGGACACCGATTAATACTGCATTCTTCTGACTCTGTGTAATAAAAAAATGAAAGAGTTATATTTCGACTGGCATTTCCATTAGAAAATAAGGAAAAGTATTTAGTTCCAGACTTCAGCTCTCTCAAAGCCTGGAGCATATTTTTATAGTGCATTTTATTAGATGTTTCCAAGAGGAAAAGAAGGGAAGTAAACTACACAATATGTTTTCTAAATTTGTCAGAAAGATGGCCTCAGATATCAGTTAAAAAATTATCATGCCTTTCTTGAATTTTTTTTCTGTTTATCAAGTTCAGTAGTGTGTGCGGAGACCAATCTAGTTTGTTGCAAATACATAATTTGGGTTCATTCCCAACTCTTTTTCACCATGACAAGTTAAAGACTTCTGTAATGATAGATAGAAATAGTCCTCTGCTACACTATGGAAGAACAAGCAAGCCTGTAAACACTGACTGAAGAGGACACTGGCAGCGGTGTAGCAGGGTTGGCAGCAGTACGCTGGAGGGAACAGAAATGGTACGCGAGGCTTGTGAAGGACACTTACTTCAGAGTCTGCAGCTTCACCAAAATCCTGTTGCCCAGATGTTCCTTCGGGCAATCTGGCACCGGACGTATCTCCACTGCATCTTCCTATCATTAAAGAGTTAATTTAGTCATAGTCAATTAAAACAACTGTAAATTTACATACTTACATAAAACCTTTGTGTGGCAGTAACTGGGCTGCCACTACAGACTAGCACCTTCCCCCACTCAGCAGGCATTGAATCTCTTCAGAGATGAAAGGAAGTGTATTTATATTTCTGAATATTTACACTTCTGACTCCCATCTGTCATTTACACTGAATATTTACACTTCTGGCCTCCAAGCAAGCATTATAGCAAAGGGTAACACCCTGACACTGCCCCAGCACCAGCACGGAGCTTGGCTTGCACCCCCTGAATGCAAGTTCAAGAAAGCAGACAGAAGACTACGGCGATGAGCCTTCGCCATGTTATCATCCAAGAGAGATGCATATCCAGGCCACAAACCCTGTTTTTCAACTCTGGCACAGCTTTCACCTTCCACATGCCAGGACAGTCAGCTGGGAAAGGCTTGTGGGTCAGTCAGCCTCTGAGCTCACCTCATCCACGGAGGGGTAGAGGGCGAGGAGCTCGGCGTGCCTGTTGGTGCGCCGTGCCTCCTCGTTCTGCCTCTCGAACGCCTCGGCGCTGATGTGCCGCAGCAGGTTTTCCAGGCGGGGGTCCGGCTGCAGGCTGCGCAGGTCGAAGTCAGAGGAGGCCAGGGTCGCCCTTGAGGCCTCCTCAGGGAGCGTGTGGACGTGTCGGGGCCCCACCTGTTGTTTGGAAAACAACAAAATGGCTTGGACACCGGGGCGTCATGAAATGTCTTCTTTTTTTGCTTGTTTGGCAGAGAGGGCTGCCTCTGCCGTGACGCCTAACGGCAAGCATGGCTCTCTGCTCAATGCCGTTGCAGAGATCCGAGGGTGCTTCCTTTGAGGAAAGCTGCTCTGTTTGATTGCTTTTCCCAAAGTGAAGAAAATGTACCTGAAAGTTTGCATCGCTGGAATCCAATGTTTCTGATTCAAATGTTTGTTTTTGAAGCATCTTGTGAAAATCTTTTCGGGATCCCTTGTTTTTCAGGCTACAAGTATCTGAATTTCCTTGGTTCCTTTCACAGAGAAGCCCAAGCAAGTCAGGACAGGATGAAGAGGAATTAAGGGAAAATAAAACAGAAAAGGCAGATTTAAAAAAATATTAAGCTACTGGAAACATCATTGTGCAAAAGAGCAGCACAACATGGCTTTTACACAAAAACATGACATTTCACAATGTTTATTTCTTTTATCACACCATTGCAATTCTATCATGTATGTTAAGAACGGTTTTAAAAGGGAGAAAATTAATTCAGATCACTTTTTCATAGACTGTGAGCCTGAGAGAGCAGCAAAAACTGCAGTCCTCATCAGACATAGTAATTATTTCAGTGACCTTAAGAACATGGATAGGGATCGCTGATCCTATTTTAGAAGAGAGCTATTGCTGTAGCACAATGCAACCCTCTCTGCTGGCAACTTCTCAAAATTTTGCAGCAAGGTACCAATTTCAAGCTACATTTTTGTGGCGGGTGGAAAAAAGATACCAGGTACCTTGAAAAAAGATACCAGACGCATCCAGAGCTCTATTTCTTCCACTTCAGCATGCAATTTGCTAAATCCTGTGATGGTCTTTTTGCAATCAAAAACTTAGTTACAGTATCCTGCTTCATTCATTTTCCTTCCTGTAACACTCCCAAAGCAGCGTCTAAACATCTGAGTACTTTCATAAAGGTGCCATGATAAGCAATTATCGATCAGGGAGACATCTTTTTATTACATTTTGGGAGTAACTGAATTATATGGTCTGATGTGTTTTAATTTTAATTGTTTGCATTTTAATCGTTTACCAGTTCACTGCAAATGAAAACTGAAGTCATAAAAGAGACAATCCCAGCTGTCCTTGGATGTGACCTTGTTTTGCAACTGCTTTAATCATTCAGAATGAAAGACAGAAATTCTGCACGAGTTTACTTTAAGATATTTCAGCATCCGAAAGAGGTTTTGTTGATTGTTTTTTCACTACCCCGGTGGCAAACAAATGATTAATGGAGAGATTTATGTACCTGAGATCACACTTTCCCTGTAATGTACAAGTTACACTAGAGATGCCTTTCCCTTAAAGTGTTCCTGGAAAAATTATTTATATTGTTTATTCATTTTGAAAAGCACTGTAGGAATTAAAACTCACCAAGCACCAAAAATGCTGCTTTTAGTACACATGTCAATTTAACGGCTGCACACTGAATTGAGAAAACGAGATGACGAAAAGAAACAAAGGATAACTGAAAGGAGAAACTGACCAGCCCAGGAACAAGCCTCCCATTCAGCCATCGTGAAAACACATAGATCCCTCATCTATGTCCAGGCCTTCTGTCATTCACCATTCTGCCCTGGGGCATGAGGGCCAACTCTGCTCATGCCACCCACTGAAGTCTCTTCAATCTCCTGTTCTGAACCTTCACATCCATGAATGGATGAAAGTCACTTACGCAGTTCTCTCATCCACAGCTCATCAGACCATATGTTCAGCAACCTGTCTTATGAATCTTTATCTCCCAAGTAGGCAGCTACAGATTTTCCAGCCTTTCTCAAGAAAATAGAAAGCTTTCTACAACTACTTTTTCTCACTTCTCTCTTGATGTCTTTTCTTCCTCTCATATCAGTTTTGATAATAGTGTCCAGGCATAACATGAGATTCCCAGTAACAATTTATCATTGGTTTATGTGACACTGCAGCTTATTTCACACTGTCTTGTTCTTTGCAATTTTTAGCAACTTGCTTGCTTTGTTAGCCACAGCCACCAAAGCTCAGCTCTCTGGCAGGACTCTTCGTCATGTTTATTGCAGACTCAACTGCTCAATAAAGTTTTTGAATGCAAATCTGCCTTACCTGAATGAATGAAATAGTAAAACACACGACAAATCTTTTCATGCATGTGTATTTCTATGGCTCCATTCACATTGCTACAAGCACGTGTAAGTGCAAGAATAGCTATGTTCTGTTTCTCACCTCACCTACACAGTCTGAACACAGTCTCTGGTCCCAACTGATGCTCTGAGAAAAAGCTGCACGCTGGCTCTTTACAGCGCGCTCAGAACCACACTGCGTGACAGAGGTGGCGCCTGTGCTTTGAGCGGTGCAGGTGGAGAGCCTGCAAAACCCAATAGCTTATTTTTAGTGACTCACTGTGGAACAGTTCTGAGAACTCAATCAATTTCATCAGCACCCCCAGAGGAAGTCTCTTAACCCTCAGCAGCTGCTATGTCCCTGCACATGCTGCACAACTAAACAATGCAATTCCTGTGCAATCACCAGGAGTCAGCTTGTAACACACTGACTGCTGTACCTCAGGTCAGAAAAACAGAGAGTAGCAAGGGTGGGGGTGAAGGGGCACAATGAAATGGCAGCACATAGAATCACAGAATGGTTTGGGTTGGAAGGGACCTTAAAGATCATCTAGTTCCAATCCCCTGCCATCAGCAGGGACACCTTCCACTAGACCAGGTTGCTCAAAGCCTCATCCAGCCTGGCCTTAAACACTTCCAGGGAGGGGGCATCCACAACTTCCTTGGGCAACCTGTTCCAGTGTCTCACCACCCTCACAGTGACCCCCTTCTTCCTAATATCTAATCTAAACCTCCCCTCTTTCAGTTTAAAGCCTTGTTCTGTAATTAACTACCCTTATCAAAAATCCCTCCCCAGCTTTCCTGTAGCCCCTTCAGGTACTGGAAGGCCACTATAAGATCTCCCCGGAGCCTTCTCTTCTCCAGGCTGAACAGCCCCAACTCTCTCAGCCTGTCCTCACAGGAGAGGTGCTCCAGCCCTCGGATCATCCTGGTGGCCTCCTCTGGACTTGTTCTAGCTGCTCCAGGTCTCTCTGCCATTGGCTGCTACTACTGCTTCTCAAGAGCAGGGCATGAGCGCAGGAGGTGAGGAACAGGAAGTGGCACAGGAAAACAGAGCTCAAAAAACCTCTTTCTGAAGAACAGGAGTGGGTGATGGGGAAGGAGGGAAGCTGCACTGGCACAGTGCATCCCTGAGAGTCTGGGCCCAGACACCCCCATACAGAAAGCACTGACTGAGAGTTCCCTCCACATTTAATATACAAAATGGAATGAAATTATAACATTAAATTAAAAATAATAA